ATGGCTCCGATCGAACGAGCAACTCTTCGCCCCATCGTCTACGACGAGTTCCTCCAAGGACACTCTGCGAGAGTCGCCGCAGACAACATCTGCGCTGCATTCAAGGGCAAAGTCGTCCATTATTCCACGGTGTCTCGATGGTTGAAACGCTTGCAATCTGGCGACAAGACCTTCGGAGATCGACCACGCTTAGGACGTCCATAGGACGTCTCAGGACGTACAGTCGATGACGAAGCCCTGCGGAACGCCCTCAACGCGAAGCCGAACGCCACCACTCGCGAATCGGCGACTACACTTGGAGTCACCCATATGGCCATCGGCAACCATCTGAACGACCGCGACTATCGGAAGGTTTACTCGACATGGGTTCCTCATCGGTTCAGCGACTCTGACAAAGCAAGCCGTGTCGGTGTCTGCGAATCACTGCTCCTTCGTCCGCACAGAAAGGACCTTCTGAAGGAAATCGTTACTGGAGATGAGAGCTGGGTCCTCTACGTCGACCATACTCGCAAGAGTCAGTGGCGTCCACGAGAATTGCCGCCACACGAACCGAAACCAGGGTTCCACGAGAAGAAGGTTCTTCTTTGCTGTCGGTGGGATTCAGAAGGATTGTTGTACTATGAGCTCATGCCAACTGGTACCACCACGACTGCCGTCGTCTACGCTGCTCGACTTCAGAAGTTGGCTGGCATCATTCAAAAAGAGCGTCCCAAACGCGACAAAGATCTCCTTCTGCATGACAACGCTCGTCCACATGTTGCGAAGACGACTCGCCAGACGATTTTGGAACTGAACTGGGAAGTTTTACCCCATCCAGCGTATTCTCCGGACTTGACCCCTTCCGACTATCACTTGTTCCCGGCCCTCGTGAATCACCTGCGGGACAAGGCCTTCGACGATCGAGCACATCTCGAAAATGATGTCGGCCGTTTCTTCGCTTCGCAATCGCCAGAGTTCTGGGCAAAGGGCATCGAGCAGTTACCCGTGCATTGGGAACATGTCATAGACAACAATGGTCATTACATTGTAGACTGAAATTGCATTTCAATAAAGTTATAACATTTTGAAAAATTTGCGCAGTGTTGCAAGACTTTCTTTCCAACCCAATAAATATTATTTGAGATTAATGCACTAAGAAGATTAAGTCGATCATAGACCGAGATCAAATTCACTATATGAACACTAAACGACGGCATTAATTTTTACCTGGTGAACCTCATGCTGGAAAGCATATCACGTTTCTATTAATATATTTTCATAAGAGATTTTATTTGTATGGTGTGAGGGCCAAAGGCCCGAGAATTGCTAAACCAAGGAGTTTGACTGCATCATCAGGGGTGAGGTACGATAAATGGGGCTTGAAATGGCTTAGCAATATTTATTTGATCATAGAGCCCCTCAGACGCCTTTATTGCGAGTTTCTTTGCCTGAAAGACAACTAGTTGGAACATAGTATGGACACTCACCATAGGAGACTAAAAGCATGTCAAAATGATAAGGGGCGCTGATGACCATGTGTAGTTTAATAGGATGGAGTCCTACCTCCATATCTACCTCCATACCTCACAATGAGACTCGCCCTCTTCCTGATTTTGCTGTTCAAGTCGGGTACAGTTCTCAATTTATTTCATCACCACCTGCTTTCCCCTCTTCAGGGATCTTGTCTTCAGAAAAGCATTGTATACTAGCTATGGTCGCGCCTTCGGTGCTCCATTATCTTGGATATTGATTAATTCTTTAATTTTTGTTTAAATGGGAAACACGTATTTAAAGGATGTCCCCATTGAAATACGTGACATATGGGGTCGAAAGACTTGAGTTTTATCAAATTATTTACTTCTATGTTTCTATGTGTGCGTAACTTTAAATATTTTCTTGTGTCCCTTTTGGTAAGGGTGGAGAATACATTTTGAAAACTTCCCTCTAATAATCTACGCTAAGGATACATATTTTAAAAGTAGGATTTTTCCTGTACTTAGCCATTAAACAGGTACTTCTGAGGGAAATTTTAGCTTTCAGCTTTCCATGTCTCTCGGTTTTACTCAAGCAAAAATAATGTTATGGAAGAGGAATGAGTAACGGGACATGGAAGGCAAAAAAAGCCTAAGGAGAGCCAAGGAATAGCCTGGAATTGAACCCGAACCTTCTGACTGCCAGTTATATGTGCTACTACGACACCACCGAACCCAGCACATTTATCGTTTTTCTGAATGCCATTCTCATCTGTCCCAAAAATATATTTAAGAAAAACGTTTACCCCCAAAATTTGTACCCCCAGGGCATTTACCTCCAAAGTCGGATTTTTTTCTGAACTCTGCATCCCAAAAGATACATGTGTACCAAGTTACAGATTTGTAACCCTTCTAGGACATGGATAGAATTAGCGTCAGTCACTCAGTCAGTCAGTCACGATCGTCTATATATATTAGATGCTCCTATGTCAATCTCCTTTCACCGGTCATGATAACATTTTTTTCTGAAATGTCTCCTATTCACTTATCGAGGACATTTCCACTGTCTGTTGAGAGGAATTTCTTTAAGAGAATGGGCGGGATTTTTTTATTACCAGACCATGCAATCTAAAATTATTGTGGCAGAATCCTGAATCAATGTAAGGAATTATAGCTTTGGTTCGTGAAATAAGCTAAATATACGAGGAGAGCTTGGAAAATAAGGTCAACCAAACAATTTCGCTGATACTATATTGCGCACAAATAGCGTGTTTTAAAGATAAATGTTCGCCTGTGTGTGGTTCTGTGCCCCAAAGAAACCTGATCGCACTCCGATGTTCCTTACATCTTGACAATTCCAGTCTACGCACCAATTTTCAGTATGTCTCTTGCTGCCCACAGTATCTTCTCATCTACATTACCTCAGGAAGAAATGGAAAGTGCATGTATTTTCGTATTCATATGGCATTTTTTGTGCGTACAGTACAGACTCGGTGAAAGGAAGGACCTTATTTTCCAACATTCCCTCATATATGTGAAGGAAGCCTTTCGATAGAAAGCAACGATGAATGAACAACCAAAATCACAATACGAAAGATTTTCCCACAAAATTTTTCCTGGATTCCGTAATGTCGTTGCAAGATGCCTTTACAATACCTTTATTCCATACTTTCTTAGAGCTTCAACTCCTGGCACTTGAAAACAATGTACGGGTAGATCGAGGCCCGAGGATGTCCTGGAGGCTCCTGCCTGGATTTTGAGCGAGGATGATGACAGACATGGTCAAGGACTTCTGGGGTCTTCAATACGTGTTTTCGATTTTATTCTTTATCCAGGTAGTGAATCTGATTCGGGAAATATGAATATATTTCGATTTTATTGTCTCTTGAGGAGATCGAGTCACGACATAAACAAGTAGCGAAATTAATCCGGGTCTTACCGATTGACTTTTGTAAAGATAGCGTACTGGCCAGGAATCCTCATGGAACACTTTTCTTTGCTGAAAAAGTGACTCACGATCCCTTCAACGGTCCAGCGTTGACCGCGTTCTGCATCATTTAGAACCATGGGACTCCCCGAATCTCCGTTACAGACTGTTTGGTAGGCTGGAAAGAAATGTATATAACCGATGTCGGTATGTCTTGTAACCTCTGATGGAAGTTTGCTTGAAAATTCCAGTGGAGATCAAAGCAGTTCTCTGGCGATAGTTTTTTACCTATCTGAATTTGATCTAAATCTTGCTAAATATTTTGTCGGGACGCTAATATCGACATAATACAGTGGTACAGCAGCGCACACGTCCAACTGGTCAGGCATGGATGACATCACATTCGAGAGGAGCTAATAAAAATAACTGCAGAAGATCGCACCCATAGGAACGGTATAGGTATGCGTGCTGCAATTGGAATGCTTTGGCCTGAATGCTGAAACCTCCTTTTGTTTACGGTCCTTTAAGGATACACTTAATCATATGGGAATCCTTGTACTCTTCCAGGGACAGTGAACAAAAGGAGATTTCAGCATTCGGGCCTTAATTTGTTTGTATCATGGCGGCTTGTTACCATTCACTTCTATGGGATTTTCCCGATTTTTCAACCTAACTTTCTTCCAAATGCTTACACGCAGCAGGTGCAATATGTCCTCAGAGGAACAAATAGGCATAGGAACAAATACCGCCTCTTGAGTCGTTCCAAGACTTCCTTCTATCATGCATGAGGATCCAATACTTCAGTTTAGGCTAAAAGCAATAAAGGGCGATTGGGAATAGGTCTCAGTAGAATGCCGGCGATTCGTGTGCGAAGCGATTAATAGAGTTGAAAGCGGGAATATGGTGCGCATTGGCGGATTAACAGAGTAGGTACCGGGGAGTAGTCATACTAAATACGGAAGCATGGCCTACCATGACCCGCTAACAACCGCTAACATACTGAAATATCGAATGATTCTGCGTTTCAGGATTTGACTATGTTTTTACAAATTGCGGGACATCATTATCCATGTCACTGTTGAAAAAAGTACCTGGTTAACACTTACGTAAATCATCAGCAATGAACTAACAGTCATGGTGCCGTTGTCATGGTGGCAACTCCCTGAAGGCTATATTTGCCATGAAGTTTCCGATAAACAGAGAAATTACACACTATACTGGTTGAGACTGTACCTGTAAGGGCAGTGTTTTTGTCATGCCCAGCGCAATACAAGTTAGTAGTGAGGGTGCGAGTGACGCTGGAGTCCCCTGTGAAGTGGATAGTGTCTTTACGACATTCATTATTGGATATAATTGGGAGTTCCACTTCCATCAGAAGCAGGCCCTTACGTAGACACGGCAGCCTTGGGGTTGGTCGGTGGATGGTACTTAGTAAACCCATTGAGGTACTTTGTTTTTCAGATGAAGTGTATATGCATGTCTTATGAAGTACGGAGTGGCTACCTCGCAATCCGTTCTTGGAGCTAGTATCAGAGCTATCTGAGTATTTTGGGAGACAAACCAACAGCACTCGTCGTGTTAACGTGGCATGTTCTGCCAGTTGCAAGAGTGCAATATCGGAGTCATAGTTCTGTAGGTTGAAGTCTTCGTGGAGGAAGATGTGTGATATCTGTAAGTATAATATTTATCAATTTGAAACGGATATGAGTTGGTGAGGGGATGTCAGAGGGTTTATCAATTGCCTTCTTCTTCTGCACGAACTCATCATCCTGTGAGTCATCTCGATAGTGTTTCCCAAGATAGATCAGAAAGACATCCCTGTTGCGGGGTTTCGCCGTTCCATCTTGGGTGATACAATGAGCCGCAGTAAGGACCCATCTCTTGTGAATGAGAGCCGCGCCACAGATTATAAGTTTCTTTTCGATGTCATAAATAGCTGCCTGCCATGGCCACTTTCCAGTACCTGCAGGCCTTCCACCAGCTGAGAGTGTGGTCGGCGTCACTGTTCTCCCACATTCTAGGAATACAAAATTGTATGATAACTAATGTACCGTAATGCCATCATTTGCACATAAAAAAGGATAAGGGAACTAACCAGGCTCGCAATCAGGACGTTCTCCTGTCCATTGCCCATCTTCTTTACATGTACGAGATGATGATCCACGCATCCTAAAGAACTGATTGCATTCGTATTCGACACGGGTTCCGTTGGCATATTTTCCATTTTGGAAGCATTCATTGAGATTTGTATGGTCGGTCACTGGAGACTTCTCTCCAATTTTGCTGCCAGAACCAGCCCTGAAAATTTATTGAGTCGCACCTGTTAGGAGTTACATTGAGTCTATTGGTGAATTGGCCTGCACGTGGAATTCAGATTTCTCACCTTCCCCTTGGGCAAGATACTATCCTATGGATTCCATCTCCAATTGGAACAAGTCGTGGACAACCGCTCTCGTCGGCAACTGCAAAAAAACAAGTGCTATAGGTACTTCGCTACTATGGCAATGACAGAATATGTGGAAATGAATGCAATCATCCACCACGGCATCCGAGAAGTTGAACTCTTAACTCGGGAACATCAGAATGTACAATTAAAAATTATCTCACTGATTCTAAGTCTGGACTTAGAATCATATCGACTAAATCATATCGATAGGATGGATTTGAACCATAATGGCTAAATCAGCATTATGATGGAGTACATCAGGGGAAATGTGACCAAGTGAAACTTTTATGCGAAACCTTGATCGATAAAGAAACCATAATTTCGACGTTTAAACACTAAACACTAACACATTCTCGAACAAGGGATTATGCTGAGAAAATTCTGCTTCTTTGATAACGCAGAACATTTCATAATAAAAAAGAATCCTTCCACTCGTGCATAATCTCCATGCTATTCGGGGTAAATCGGGAATTCAAGTGGATAATGAGTGAAAACAGCAAAAACGCGCTCGTATGCAACGTAAATGAGTCCTTGAACAAATTTCCAAATTAAACTTGTGCATATGGTTCCACGCAAGTGAAGAAAGCTATATTTGTCATAGCAACTTGTTTTCCCTGCAGAATAAGCTTCTCTGCCCATTCATAATAATTTTTTATCATGGAAGTATGTGAAAAAGACAAGGTATGTTGCTAAATTTCAGGTATGCCTATTACAGTGTTTTCGTAAATATGTTGGCTCAGGAAATAAGAATTAACTGAAGTCATGCCAATTAAAATATTTCTTGGGGATAAGGTGGCCTTATTACCGCAAATAGCAGTGCCCACATATTTGGCTACCGTGAAATAACCCGTGTCATGGTGAAGTCAATCTCAACACTTCACGCGTTAATTCTCCTTGAGTACTCTTTTGAATGAAGGAACGAATAAGAGAAATTTCACGCAACTCTTTTGCAAAGTGATCAAAGACTATCAATGACAATTATTCACAAATACTTGAAAATGTGGAGGCAGTCATTTCAAATGCTTATAGCACAAAAACCTTCAAGAACATGAGAACTTCCTTACGGCAAAGGAAACACCGCTACATGAACAAAATTATCACTTCCTCGGATTGTTCCTGTCTCTCCAGAAATGAAGCAAATGAATATGATGAAGCGCTTATATTCCCTTGCTTCAATGTTCCATCTCAGTTCCCCTAGAATAATGGCGCCCTTGCAGCTGAGTTCTTCAAGCTCATATTAACAGGGTGGCCCGAAAAATTCAGCCCAAATTTTTAATTGCATAGAACTGAAAAACTATTGAAGCCACAGGCTCGAAAAAAACCCAGCAAATTTAAGCTTATTCATTCCTCTTTAAAATAGCATATAGGTTCATTGTAATCGTGCCATGGCATGGCCGCCATGGCCGTTTTGAATCAACCATGACCGAAAAAAAAGTTGCAAGATGTTGCTAAAAATTGCCAGCCATTGAACTGTCTTCCCCTCTTCACAGCAGGACAGAAACAAAGTCGCCTGTAGCAGTAGCAAAACCTTGCAACTTTATTTTCGGTCATGGTTGATTCAAATGGCCATGGCACGTATTACGATGAACCTATAGACTATTTTAAAGAGGAATGAACAAACTTTAATTTGCTGGGTTTTTTTCGAGCCTGTGGCTTCAATAGTTTTGAGTTATGTGCAATTAAAAATTGGGGCGGAATTTTTTGGGTGACCCTGTAGTACTTGCTCAAAATGTTGAGAAAAAAATATTTGAATCAGTCGTTGTTAGGCGATAAATCTCGGTCGTTGTTAGAGGATAAGAATAAATTTGACGGTTATGAATGAAAATTGAAATTGTGCATTAGGCAGTCGCTGTATTTTAAGCATAACACCTTGAATTTCAAGAGATTTTCATAACATCCTCGTATTTATTCTGGTGACGGGACACTAGGGAACACAAAACTAGGATATGTCTAAAAAATTATTTAACATGTCTGACAGTCTCCAATTCTAATGTTATTCCTATATTAATTTCGACGGGATTTAAAAATTCTGAACTCTTATATCACGTCACATCCAGCGTGAGGAGAACTGGGGAATATTTGCAATGTGTCGCTTACTACAATTTCAACTGGAAAATAGTTTCATTTTCCGATCCCTTTGCTTGAGGTGTTGTGGCATTTATATTGCATAACTTAGTACTTTCAAATTATTCGAATCATGTGTTATATTTATTCGTATTTATTGTATTTGCGATTTCGTTATTTCTCCCGTCTTAACGCAACATATCAAACTTTCATAGTTAATGCGAAAAGTTCTGCTGTCCAAAATCGCGCGGAAGAGGCATCAAAGTCGAAACTGTTTTCTAAAGTCTATCTCGTGGCATTTTATAAACTTCTCGAAGTGCATTCTGTATATACAGTAATTCGTGACAGTATCTACAGGGCGTTTCATTTAAATTGTACATCTTTGAACGCTCATATCTCTGAGAGGACGCAACCGTTCTTTACGAAATTTGACCACAATATAGAGCAACCTTTGCCAAATTATTGGACAGAGTTTCTTAATCGGAGCCCCATCTATTGAGTTGAAACCCCGATTCTGACAAAGCCTCTGAAACCAAGATCTTATCTACTTGATGAAATATTTTCAAGCTAATCATTCGTTAGATAATGCCTTGATCCAGTGGTGCTGCAAATGTCATGATTGTATCTCATCTCCTTACTAAGATATCAATCATCAAACCTTAGCCACTTAACCTATCCGCTTACACTTACTACTCTCAATGCCATGGATTTTTCCGATGTTTTGGGCCTGAGCCTCTGTTACCATCGCCCTGACGCAGGAGGCCTACGGCGCAAGGCTATAACTTCTTTGGCCAGAATGCACAAGGTCGTCGAAATGAGGTTAGGTAAACAGATGGGTCAAAGCATTTTGCAATCTGGGATAATGTTAGCGTGACTTTGCCACCAAGTCAGCGAGATACCATGGCTACTCACAACACCAAAGAGGAAAAAATCGAAATTTTGGAGCAATATCTCTTGAACAAAAAATCTCCCAGCGAGACCTCAAGGAATTTGAGGGCAATCTGGAATCTGCCAAGGCGTGTTGCAATCAGTCGGTCTGTGTTTGCAAACATTTACCGAAACTTTCGAACATTCGGATCCGTACTCCATCCAAGGTCGCGCACGCCAACAGTGCGAACCCCAGAAAATATTCAGAGGGTGCAAGTGGCTGCACAGGTTCACACAGAGGCCAACCGGAATGCCGGGTCTGAGAGAATCGGGCTTGAGCTCGGGATATCCAAACATTAGTGTGGAGGATACTTAAGAAGGANGTGTAAGCGGATAGGTTAAGTGGCTAAGGTTTGACGATTGATATCTTAGTAAGGAGATGAGATAAAATCATGAAATTTTCAGCACCACTGGATCAAGGCATTATCTAACGAATGATTAGCTTGAAAAGATTTCATCAAGTTGATAAGATCTTGGTTTCAGAGGCTTTGTCAGAATCGGTGTTTCAACTCAATAGTTGGCGCTGCGATTAAGAACCTCTGTCCAATAATTTGGCAAAGGATGCTCTATATTGTGGTCAAATTTCGTAAAGAACGGTTGCGTCCTCTCAGAGATATGAGCGTTCAAAGATGTACAATTTAAATGAAACGCCCTGTATATAACAATCGACGACTTCCGCTTGTCTGTACGCTTGAGGGCTGCACGAGTGAAAATTTCAGAATTCTACCCGATTGGCCCGATTTGAGTCGTTGTCCTGCCCGATCCAAAACTCGATCGCCAGGCCGAGCTTAGTGGACCCGACCCACAGGTTGTAAAGAGCCGATCGTTTCGGCTAGAAGTATCTAAGCTTCAGAACCCAGGGTCTCTGGGTTAATCCTTTTTCCAACAGGCTCTGCCTCTGGTCCCTCTGCTACTCCATGACGTCACGTTGGTGTCAGGCTGTTCGGTGCTCTCATAGTTTACGACGTTCTGTTGCCAGCTGCTTGTCCGAGTGATGTTATTTAATGAAGCAAACGGGTCGAGCGCTGACACGGAAAGAGGTGTCCGTTTTGTCAGCAGCTGAAAGCGACTGAAGAAAAGGAATCAGCTGATGATGCATTCCCCTGTACCCAATAGGAATCTTGATTGACTGCCGAGCTCTCGGCCCAATCCGCGGGTCGGGTTGGTCCAACCAAGCTGAAACTTAAGCAATGTTTTTGCATGATCACGCATCATCCAATGCGCGGGTATTCGAAATCCGAACGATGTGTCTTACTCGAATGCTACGTGGCGACACTCCCTGAAATTCGCATACATGAAATTGCTGGTTTTCTGATGGCGCAATGCATCCCCTTTTATTGATTCAACGCGTGACAGATAGGAATTCGAATGTTAACCGGATTATCCTTTAAGATAAAACTCACTTAAAGTTGCAATTAAGGAAAATTGGAAGTCCCTAGAGTTGGGAAGGATCTCCTCTGCTTCATCTGATAGACATGAGTTCCTAATTTGTACACTGTGCCTCAATTGAATATTATATGGGGTGAATATGAAGAAAGTTCCCTTGTTCAGCGAATCAGATCTCGGAAACGCTTTGACACGGGATCGTGAAAATCTATACGAAATGCTAAAGGGCCCATGGGGAAGACAATGCTCTGTGACAAGTGCCGTGCGTCGTCAAGAAAAGCGAACAAATTACCCATTCATGAAAATCAGTTTTGTTCAATGTGTGCTCCTTCATTATCCACTATGCATTGCATTCAAATGATTACGGACGTTACGATTACGACCAGCACGTCGCATATCCGCCGTTGTATTGGCCACCTCCTTGACAATGGCATCTTAAAGGTCTGGGGTCGTGCGTGAGGTCCCTTGATACTGGCGAGAATTCAGAATCCCCCATATCCAAATCTGATCAGAATCCGGTCAACGCAGTGGCCATTTATGAGGATGATGCCGAGAGAGAAATTATGCGATCCTGGAAGTGCTCCCGCAACACACGCATGAAAAGAGTGCTAATTTGAGGAGAGATTCCATCTTGCACAACGACCGTGATGTCCAGCACATTTCGTTGGTGCAGAGTGAGAATTACAAAAGTTGTTAGCACGTTCAAGGGACCTTGCAAATGCAGGGACCCGACGCACGATTGAAAACCTCTAAGATGCCACTTTCAGGGAGGTGGCCAGCCCACCGGTGAATATGCGACATGCTGGTGTCACGTCTGCTATCATTTGAATATAATACTTAGTGGATAATGAAAGAGCACACATTGAACGCAACTAATTTTCATAAAGGAGCCACCAATTTACTTTTGTTGACGACGTACGACACGTATTGTCTTTCCAATGGCCCCTGTAACATTAGTATTAATTTTCTCGATC